AATGAGAGAAATAAAAGTTTAATAGTAACTTTTCTTTAAATAAATGAAAATTGGAAGAGAAAATTGCTTGAAAATTTGTATTTGTTGTGTTTTAAAATTTTTTTAATTTTTTATGTTAAGAGACAATTGCCAAATACGATACAAATTGGGAAATACCAAATATAATAAGTTTTTTAACGCGCGTTATGACATTTTGACAATTTAAATTACCATTTATCTTGAATTATTGCCATTAATTAATGTGTTAATTATTGTGTTATTTAAAAATAATTTGTCTGTATTTTTGTTAAATATTAGTTGTATAAAACGGGCAAAAATATACAAACTTCATGTTTTTGTTTGATGGTTATAAAATATTGATCAGTAAACTAATAATCAAAATTTATAATGTCGACTTGTGTTGTTATTAATTGTACTTTTAATGCAAAACCAAGATCTCACATATCCTTTCACGAATTTGCATATCTGATACTACTGTCAACTGTATTGTTTAGTGTATTCTTGCACTTTTTTTTCATAACCTTAACAGGTTCTAATTGGTATGGAGTTGCCAACATTTTAATAGTTTCATTATCAAAAATCAAATGTAAAATAAAATGATATTTCCTTTTTATCCGTATCCAATTTAGCAAATTTAGCAATTTAAAATAAATCAGTGTAATCAAAAAAATTTTATAATAAAAAAAGTTAACAATTCATCATAAATCTCTAATTAATACTGTCAGTTTATGAAATTAATTGTTAATACTTTTTTTCGACGGGAAAACAAAAAATATCATAGCGTAAAAATAACCAGAGAAGTTAGAAAAAAGTTCCCATTTGTTTAAATAAAAGTAGGTAAGATTCGGAATGCGCTCTCTTGCACAAAAATGAGAGACCCTATACATAACGTTCTATATAATGTATGAAAATCATTCGTAAGAATGATTTTCATACAAGTGATATATTCGTAAGTTAAGATTCGTAAGTAAAGCTTTAATATTTGTTTTAATTTAAAAACAAAAAAAATATAAGTAAGATATATAAATCTAAAAATTATTAAGATATCGGTAAAAAAAAAGTTCCTCTTATGAAATAAAAAGCTTTTATTATTTTTGATTTTTACAAAAATTTGTTGTAAAAGTTGTTTTGCTGTACGTTAAAAATTTTTTTTTTTAATTAAAATAGAAAAACACAATTTAATTACACTTTTCTTTTGTTACAAATCTACCGTGACGTCAAATGCTAAAACTTTTATGAATTAAACGCGCTTCGAAGGAATCGCCAAAGTCTGTAGATTGCGACGTATAATTTAAAGACTCTGAGTTATTCAAAAAAAATGGAGAAGGCAAGCTTCGGCTAAAATTATGCATTCATTATTTATTTTTAATCAAAAAAACTTGGTTCAAACCTTTTTTTAACATTATCTTTAATATGAACACAACATGTGTTGGGAGTTTGGTTTCCCTTTAAAAGTAGGTTATTTCAAACATTCAAAAACTTAACTAGGCCACTAACAAGGTGCTAACAATCTATCGAAATGTGGATCTCTAAGATTTTTTGGCACATTGAAGGAAAGATATGCTGAGTTCGTTGCTAATGACTCAGATTTAAACATTTCAAAAAATTTTGCAAATGTAATCCATTCACTGTTGATCGATATGGACAACTCAGTGCTCATTTTAGATGCTGTTTTGCCAATAAAACTCCATCTTATTCTTGTAATTGTCAATTATCTTTTAGAAAATCTTTCGGAATTGTGGCCTGAAGCCAAAGAATTGCTAGCTAAGTTGCACTTTCAGCTCCAACCATACCATGGTGGACACTTCAAAGACAATGATTGCTGTATGATTTTTAAAAACATTGATATTTTCCAACGAATGGCTGAAAAAGCTTGTGCTTATGCTGTTTTGTTGAAATTCTATCGAGTTTCAAAAACTCATCAATCTTCACTCAGAATATTTAGTGAACGAGGATTTTAAACATTGCACTCAGAATTCAATTCTCATTCCAGAAAATATTTAAAAAAAATATTTGGGCTAATTTTTTTAATTAAAACTAAATAATGAATGCAGACATGATAATTTATTCCATGCATGTTTAATTCATAACAATTTTGGTATATGACATCATTGTATAAGTTTTCTAGATATCATATACTTTTTTTGCCACAATCACCAAATCATGTTAATTGTATAATTTTTTACTAAATCCCCCCAAAAAGTTGTGATTTAATTAAAAATTAAATTTATAAAAATTATAAAAATAAAAATTCAATATATAACGAATATTTACAGTAAAACATACTGGTTTAAACTAAATATAAACTAGATACTAAAAGAATAATTTTACTAAAACGTATAAATTAATTTCAAGTATAAACTGAATAAAAAACAAGTGACTTGAATAAAAAATATAAACTGAAATAAGTAGAAAATAAATATTAAACAAATTATTTTACTAATAAATGTACAAATTAACCTCAATTAAAGTTAAAATAAATATTTGTATATAATATATAATATAGTATAATAGTTATAATATAAATATAAAAACGAAGAATCATATGAACTCGTTCGCTACCAGTCGAACAAAAATCTTTTTTGTAGCAACCGCACATTTTTTGGAACAAAATTTGAATTGCATAACATTGACAATTAGTTAAAATTCGATAATAATAAAGTTTTTAACACACATTATTAAACAGTAAGAAATGCAAAGTGTTCAGCACTTTGCATTTCTTACTGTTTAATAATTATTAATTATTAACCATTATTTTTATAAGTAGTAACTAAAACATTAAGTTCAAAACAAGCCTCATTTAATCAATAAAAATAATATTTTTTCTTCAAAATGCTTTGGTAATTACTTAACTAAATACTTAACACTTCTTACAAGTTATGCGGTAGTGGTGTAGTGGTAGAGCGCTCGCTTCATAAACGAGTGGTTCCGAGTTCGATTCCCACCACGTCCCTGGTAGTACCGCGCTCAACTCGTTTCTCCGCGCAGCGGCCTTGTTCGTCAAGGTTCGTGTTTCGGAGTTATAGAGTTGAGAGAGGGTTATAGCCACAAATAAGTAGCCTCCTCGTCTGTAGTGGCCGTCTCGGCCTTGAGGAGGTGAATTAAAATTAAAAAAAAAAAAAAAAAGTTAAGTTTTACAGTGTTAACACTGTTTTACTTTAAAGTTTTTTAATGAAACTAAATTTAAAGTTTTTTTAATGAAGGATTATTCAAGATTTTTTAATTTTGTAATAACTTCTTTATAATTACACTATATAGCTCTTATTTTTTCTTGATTATGTAGAGAATTAATTAAACCTTATGAACAAACAATTTCTGTGTTTAGAATGGAAATTTATGTACAAAACAAGATAAATTGTAAAGCATACTCAAAAGCTGCTATCAGAGGCTTGCGGTAGTGAAGGAGTTAACCTATAACTATATGTAAATTAAACATAAAACTCACGACTCTATTAAATCGTGTGAACTAAATATAGAACGAGAAACCACATCATACTGCCTTTATTTTTTCTTTGCCTGCAAACTCTAATAATCACAAAATATGTATAATTGTTTCAAAATCACAATTATACAAGATATATATAATTGTGATTTTGACTGGCTTCTAAAATAAAGTAATAATAAAACAAATGAAAAAAATATATAAATATAAAAATATATATATTTGCGTAATTTTTTACTGAATCACAAATATTTTTTGCAAATAAGTAAAAAGTTATACAAATATTTGATTTTCTGATTGTAGTAGAAAAAATACTTATATCTTTAAAAAAACAACAACAAAAAAACGCAATATCTTAAAAAGATATTGCGATGAAGTCATATACTAAAACTGTTATGAATTAAACACGCATGAAATAAATTATCAAGTCTGCAGATTGCGGCTAGCATTATACAGACTCCGAGAACTAAAAAAAAAATTGATAAGGTGAGCATTGACTGAAACGATAATTTTAATTTTGTTGGGATACATTCATTATTTAGTTCCAATCAAAAAAATTTAGTCTAAATGTTTTTTTTAAACATTTTTTTTTAATATGAACACAACTTGTCTCGGCAGTTGGGGATCCTTTTTAGAGTAATGACCATTTAATGAATAGAACCACCTCAAACTGAGAGGGTTGTGATTTTTACATGGTCATCATTTCTAAGCACCAATAGATTTATTTATGAAAATTTGAAATATACAAAGAAGCTTTGGGCTTCTATAAATAATGTAATTTCTTTTAGCAAAATATGATTTTTCTTGTCAGGGGTCATAAAGGTAAAATTGTTGGGGTATTTTTCTTTGGCGTTCGGATTGCTTCAATTTTTTGTAAACTATCCTCATTTGATTTCATCATGTTTATACCATGTTTGGAAGTTAACCATTTTGAATACAAAAAATCCTAAATCCACCTGTTAAAACTAAAAAAATCTGGCTCTGAAAAAGTTGAATGATTATTAAAACACCTCTAAATGTATTCAAAAGGTCTATATAATGCTTCCATAGAAGGATTTTTATGGTCTTTTCAGATGAGGTTGATTAAATTAAAAATTTAACTCTCCTCACTAACAAAAAGTTTAACGCTCCACACTGACAAAAATTTTAACACTTATCACTGAAAAAAGATTTAACATTCTAGACTAACAAAAAATTTAGTACTCCACACTTATAATAAACTTAACACTCACAAAAAACTACACTACCGAAAAAGTTTTTAAAAAAATCTTAAGGATAGAGATAAACCTTTTATTATTATTTTTTTAGTCTTTACTACTACTTTTAGTTTCTTTTGCATGTCTTTATCTTTTGTAATAATTCAGTTAAGCTTTTTTTAAGTATGCTTTTATTTAACTTTAAACTAGTTCATATAAATTATTAATTATAAATGTGGTTCATCAAATAAAATATTTTCATTATAAGATTCCAGTTTTTGTTTGTTTGTTATCTAATTTTTTTGTTCAACTTATTTTTGTCTTTTATTTTTAAACCCTGAGCATCTTTTTATTACATTTAGTTAAACCACAAAGAAAACTGATCTTTGTATACTTGGCAAATGATGTCCTTCAAAATAGTCGAAGAAAAGGTACAGAGTATAACAAAGATTTTGGAACAATACTACCTAATGCACTAATGCATTGTGCTGAGTAAGTTTATCCATCGTTTACAAAAAGTACTTTTTAAAAGCTAAGGCTTACAGAATATTTTTGAAAGTATTTGCATAGTAAGAATTTACATATGATTTTCCGGCTGTAATTGTTATCAATTGATACAAAATAACTAATGAAACATTTTTTTTTTAATTTTATCAATCAGTTAAGTAATAAAAGTACATAAGACTATTTTGATAGTTAAAAATATTTTGCATTTAAACTTGTAATTTGGAAATAGAGAAATCAAAATAAAATTAACTAAACAAATAATAATTATTTAATAACATTTATATTTATATAATAATGGAACATCTACAATGCAATATAAATAATTCATATTTATATTGCATTGCAGATGTTCCAGAATTATTTGTCTACGGTATTTTAAGTGTTTATTACCACCTGCTGAATCAAGCAATTTTTCACATGTTTTTAAAGCAAAATTTTTTAACTAACATTTTTTAAATTTCTATCTTTAAACAAAACTGACTGACTGACTCCCAACAATGCTTAACACAACCATTAAGTACACTAACCAGAAAAGTATTTACCATTAGTGCACTAACCAGAAAGTTAAAAATTAATTTTAAGAATAAGAGATTTAAAGAGCAAAAAAACAAAAATTTAAGTTATAATTGGAGTCAACAAAACACGATGCCAGTTGATGATGATATTGATGATGATGATGATGATGATGATGATGATGATGATGATGATGATGATGATGATGATGATGATGGTGATGATGATGTTATAATTGGTATGAGTCAACAAACGAAATGCCAGGAGAGATTTTTAAAACACCAATGATTATCGCCACCATCATCATCAACATCAGTAAACATTATTGCCCTCATTATCATCGCCGTCGTTGTCATCATCATCATCATCATCATTATCATCATCATCATCATCATCATCATCATCATGATCAGTATATGGTTCTCTATTTGTTATGGTAACATAATCATCAACACAAAGGATTTTAGAATTTAGCCATGCTGAATGTAATATTTTCTAAATCAAATGTCCGAAAAATTTAAACTTATATTTGTTAGATGTTTATATAAATTAACACCTAACAGTTAAAACCAAAATATAAACTTTGGTTTTAACTGTTAGGTGTCGCATTACCAAAACTATACAAGTTGCATTACTTACTTGTTTTTGCTAATGAATGATTATAAATGGTATATTTTTATTTAGTAATGATTATAAATATTTTTATTTAGTAACGATTATAAATATTTTTATTTAGTAACGATTATAAATATTTTTATTTAGTAACGATTATAAATATTTTTATTTAGTAACGATTATAAATATTTTTATTTAGTAACGGTTATAAATATTTTTATTTAGTAACGGTTATAAATATTTTTATTTAGTAACGATTATAAATATTTTTATTTAGTAACGATTATAAATATTTTTATTTAGTAACGATTATAAATATTTTTATTTAGTAACGATTATAAATATTTTTATTTAGTAACGATTATAAATATTTTTATTTAGTAACGATTATAAATATTTTTATTTAGTAACGATTATAAATATTTTTATTTAGTAACGATTATAAATATTTTTATTTAGTAACGATTATAAATATTTTTATTTAGTAACGATTATAAATATTTTTATTTAGTAACGATTATAAATATTTTTTGATAAGTTAAAAGTTATTACTTTAATACAATACTCTTTTTTATTCAAAAAATAAATTTGATGCAAAAAATAAATTTGATGCAAAAAATAAATTTGATGCAAATAATAAATGTAAAATGGAACAAAAATCATGTCTAATCTCTGAGACACTTTCTAGGATTTTCAGGGTGAAAAATAGGTATTTATAGGTAAAAAATCAATACTGGTATTTATAGTTAAAAAATGTGTTCAACTTGAATAAACAAATAATACTATTTTTGATTATTTTAGAGTGAAAACCTTGCAACATTTTTCTGACATCTTTTTTAAAATTTAAGTAATCAATTTAATAAGTTTTTTTTGGTAATTTTGACTTTAAGAAAAAAGTATATACAAAAAAATATATATACATAAAATAAATACATACTATTTTGTTTTTAACAACCTTTCCAGCAAACATTCTATAGCGAATTTCAGTAGAACTATATAGGCATTTCGAGAGGTCCACTGAAGTTTTGCTTATCGGTTACATAGTGGACCATTAGTGGCAGCTGCCAAATTAGCTAGTCGATAACTAGCTGCTATTTCACATGTTTAAGATAAATTGGCTGGCCACTTTTAGTGATTTACTTAGTGGACCATTAGTGCCACTAATGGTCCACTAAGTAAATCACTAAAAGTGATTTACTTAGTGGACCATTACATTACTTACATTACTTAGTGGACCATTAGTGCCACTAATGGTCCACTAAGTAATGAATGAGCAAAAATATTTTAAATGCTTATAAAGATTCACTATATAAAATATAAAAATTTGTGCTTGGTTATTAAAATTATAGTTGGACATAATATTTAGAGATTCTTATAAAAACACAAATAATAATTTTTAAAGGTGTTTTAGGAGCATCAATTTAAATTCATAGCCAATAGACTCATTATCCTGCTTTCTGGTTGATTAATTACTAGAGTTTTCTTTATCTAAAAACTTCAAGCATACATTCAAATTCTTCATAATATCTTTAAAAGATTCTTTTAAAGATTTTGTTAGATAAAGTTTTTGTTAGATATTTTAGACACAAATAAAACTTAACCAATAGTTTTTTAAGCTGTATATTAGAGATAAGATTTATTTATTCAATGTTATCTATTCATTTTGCAATTGAAATTTTATGTTCTTATAAAAAAAGTTTATGCATTTTTTTTTAAAATAATTTGACGCATTACCTGTAAATTTAAATAGATTACAAAATGTTATTAAATCTTCAATGGCCATCTTAATGAGTCTTTAAAAATAAAGGCATAGCCACAGCTTTTATATATAGGGGAAAACGATATAAAAAAGTTTTGAAAATCTTGAGTTTTTGCAAATCTTGAGTTTAATGAAGCAGGAATATTTTGTCAATTTGTTTGTTTTATATATAATGATATATTACTTGCATAAGATTTCAGTTTACAAGTAGAAAAATTTGTTCAAAAAATTTGTCATCCTGTCACCGAAGCATGATGGCATACTATGAATTCTCTGTCTCCAATCTTATAAAATTTGAGAAACTTACTAACTATACTATTTAAAGTATTGCAAAATAAAAATGCGTTGTAAATAAAAAAAAAAATAACTACAGAAATCTCATTACAATCTTATTTTGGAATTTAAATTTTTTGAAAGTCTTTAATTTCATCCTGAAATTAATTTCATCCTGAAGACCATAAATGCAATAAGACTAAAATAAACTGTAAGTGGGAGCACAAGATTGTTGAAGAGAATTGATTTTGAAATTTTAAAATTTTATTTTGATGATAAATCTTTAATGTCTGACTCAAAGCATTAAGAAGTTACACGTTTTTTAACAAAAATTTTAACAAAAAAAGATAAAATTTTAAATTTTTTTGAGAAATGATGTTTTTAATTGTATTCTATAAGTCAAAACTGAAATATCAGTATATATATATATATATATATATATATATATATATATATATATATATATATATATATATATATATATATATATATATATATATATATATATATATATATATATATATATATATATATATATATATTTCAGATCACTATTTATTTTATGAGTGATGTTGTTTTTTCAAATATTCAACACTTTGATGCTATCAAAGTGTTTTTATTTATCTCAGCCAGATTAAAGTAATTATAATTAAAAGTAATTGTAATACTTTTACCAAATAAACCCTGAAAAATTAATCCGCGCAAAAAAAATTTAAAGTAGAT